GTAAGAGTAAGTGGCGGTTTATTAATTAATTCTTTAAGTCTCTCAATAACTTTATCCAAGTTTATATCGTTTTCAGTTAAATTTAAATTAAAAGTAGTATTTAACCTTTGAATAAATTCGTGGGCTTGATTGGTTAATTCTTGCTGATATTGGTCGCGTTCTTGTTTTATAGTGTCGTAATCAGTATGAGAACAATCTATTTTATTAATAATAGGGCAAATATGAGGCTCGGGAAGGTGAATTAAAGGACAAGGGGAGCAAGAATGAAGTGGCGGATTATTTATTTTATTATTTAAACTATTTATCCTTAAAATATTATGCTGTTTATTAGCCCAGGCTTGGGTTAATTTGGCTTTTAACTTGGCTATCTTTTTGCTTTGTTTATTATTTTGCTTAGAATTAGTTTGATAGTAGCTTTCAGCAATGCTTTCTAATTCGTTTAATTGGCTTTCTAGGTTGGTGATTTGATTATTAGTGGCGGTTAGTTCGTTATCAACTTGGGCTAATTGGTTAGTTTTATCACTTAATAAATTATCTAATTCCTCCACTCGCTCGCAGTGAGTAATTATTTCGCTAGCTGAATTATTTAAATTCTCTCTTAAAGCGTTAATAGTTTGTTCTTGTAAATTAAGGGTTTCATCTTTAATGACTTGGTCATTTTCTAACTCTTCAATTGCTTCTTGCTTTTGCTGATTAATGGCTTTTAATTCCCGGATTTGGTTAATAAAATTAGTTTGGTCAGTTTTAGCTTGCTTCCTTTCTTGGTCGCGTTGTCCGCGGTAAGAGTGGGCAATTATTCTTTCTTTGCTAAAATTGCCGGTTAATTCTAGTAATTTAAGCCTAATTTGTTCGCTTGTTTCGGTTAAGTTTTCTATTTCGGCTTGTAGAGTATTAATTTGAGAGTTAAGATTAGCAATTTGGCGGACATTATTAAGGTTCGTTAGCCTTAATTGTTCTTGTAAGGCTTTTAATTCCTCCTCTTTAATTTTAATAAGATTATCTAATTGGTTTTTTTCTCGTGCTAGTTGCTCAATATCTCGCTCTTTGGCCGTAGTATTTTGTTGCTCCTGGCTAATTTGTTGGCGTAATTGTTGTTTTTCCGCCTCGTTAGTCTGATAATAAAGTTGAGAAGTTGTTTCCAATTGCTCTAATTCTTTTTGAAGATTAGTTATTTGAGTTAATTGGGTAGCATTAGCCCCAGTTTTTTCCGCCAAATTATTTTGTAATTCAAGGTTCGCTGTTTTAACTTCGGCTAGTTCATTAGCCATGTTTTTAACTACTACATCTAAGCAAACTATCCCGGAAGTTAATTCACCGCTAATTAGCCCGCTATTTTTTAAGTAAGTGGTTAATTTATCAATTTCTTTTTGTTGGTTTACTCGATAGTGAATTTGTTTGTTTAATTCACTTTGTCAGTGTCCTAGTTCATTTCTTAAACGGTCTTTTTCGCCCTCATATTGGTTTATTTTATTACCCATTCTAGTTTGAGTTTCTTCCAAGTTTTTTTCTAATTCATGGATTTTTTTATGATGATTTTCTTTAAG